CCATGAAGAAATGACTTTTGGAGGCTCGGAAGGTGTTATTCGTAATCAGCTCGTTAAACTGAATCTGAATATGTATAATAAAGTCAAAAAAAAATTCCACTCGATTTTTGCATTAGCTGCACCTTACATATATTCGATTAACTTGCAAATCTTGACTGTTGACATAAAGTTTATAGTAAAAGATGCGATGTTTTTAATCTATTTGCCTTTTATAATAATTGCGCTAATCACCGCTCGTTCTCCAGAAGGATCAGAAGGCTTTACTATTTGTTTTCCATTTATAATAAAAGCAGTTGATCCGCCCCCGTCCAAATTAAGTGCTGCAGTACAACCCATATCTTTCATTAACTGAGCCATTTGTGGCAAACTTACGCCTATTCCTCCTGAGCCTTCAACAGCTAACACAATAATTTTTCCATCTGCAGTATGGCCAATAGCAGAACGTGCCCTGGAATACATATTATCAATTTCGATAAGTTCTTCGGTATCGGTAATACTGATCTTATTATTTTTTATTAAAACGGGTGATCCACCAATTGCGCTGTTGATATTCCATATGCTTGCATTTGCGGGAAATTTAGCTGTTGGCATGGACTGTGGCGGTTTGCGTACATTATTTAGACTGGGTTGCAGGTAAGAAAATAGCGTACCATTTCCACTACCCACATGATACACCCAAGTAACTTCTGGTACATCTGTAGTGGTCACCCCAAAGGCTCCCCGTGTAGGGTAATACGTGGTACTAACATTATTATACCTTCGACTTAATGATTTAATATTAATAGCATCCATAATGCCATTACACAACACCAGGCTGTAGGAAACTTGGGTGCCAAAATAGCCACCATTAATGCAGCCGTATTTGACTCCTTTTTCTTTTGCATATAATTCACTTGGCTTCTTGTTTATGGATGACATTACAGGCTTCATCTCTATATTCGCTTTAGGGTCAAATACCACACAATATGCATTCATTGATTTTTTATAATAAGATGTTGTACGATAAATCTCGATGCCATCGGGGAAGTTCGTCATTAAATCGACATCCTTTAACCAGTAAGATGGAAGTTTTATCAATCGTGTTGAATCAAGCTTTGCAACTGGAACTTCCAAGAAACCTTCCGCTTTTTTTAGACCGGCTGTAATACCTATATCGAAAGACAGTATCTGATGTAAAGCTTTTGGAGTCATCTATCCAATCCGTCTGATTACTGAAGAGGGTGCGGGATCAGTCAGAACGGGGAAAAGGCAGGGACTTTATGTGTCTTCGGAGGCATAGGATATTTCGCCTGTCATAATCTGTTTTAATGTTGTCTTATCTATTTGTCTGATCTAACGAGAGATCTCATTCTCAGAATTCTAATGTACCGTAGATAAGATATAATCCTTAGTTTGTTGAAATAAATCGAACTTGATTAGGCGTGCAGAATTCATTTATTTCAAAAAACTAAGGATTATATCTTATCTACGGTACATTAGAATTCTGAGAATGAGATCTCTCGTTAGATCAGACAAATCATAAAACAAATAGATAATAGTTTATCAGGTTTAGAAAATATTTTATAAAACGTTAAAAGAAATTAAGCAAATAACACTAAGATGGTTATCTCATGCACATAGTCTTTTATTGTTTTAGAAATTGATGAAGAAAAAAAGCGCGTGGAAACAAAAAAAATCCGAATTAGAACCTCTTCTATGTCTGAATCTGAAATTCTCATATGGACATGTGAGTTTCAACAGAAAATACATTTCATCTTTTCATACATCTCATCATTTCACATATTTCAAACATTTCATCTTTTCATCATTTCGTAATTGTCCTCTACGAAGTGTCTTTCTACGGAACATGTACCGGTGAGATCGGATTTTTCACTTCTTTGGATGTCCACATGAGAATTTCGGACTTTTAGGATTTGATTTTGTTTTCCAACTCACTACCACTTAACCCGCCCTCCCCCCTCACCAGTCCATTCTTCATACTTTCCATAATTTCATACATTTCATCCCTGCGGGAAGAAAATTACCAAGGTCAGTCTATTTTGCGTGGAGAATAGTCGACTTTACTGGCAAAAATTTTAAAATCCCAAATATGTATCATTCGACTCAATTGTCGACGCTCATGACACTTGCGTTGCGTAAGAGGTGAGTTCTGGCGCATATAATCGAGGGGTGTAATTCCACCCAAAAACCAGCGTACTCTTGGTCAAAAACCCTGAGAAACCTGGAACTTCTAACAAGTGTTGTACTAAAGACGATTTTCGTCTATATCTACAGAAACTGTCTAAAAATATTTCCATTATAAATCGGTAATGAAACCTAAACTAAGAATCCTCCAAAGAATACAAAATTAAAATGCTTTTATATGACATCGTTAGATGAAGCTTCCAAAATTACCTATTAAACCCAAGCTTTTAAACCTTAGAGCTTAAAAATGACTGAGTTACTGATTCTATACAAAAAGCTCCAGAACAAAAGTCGAAATGTATGAAAAGATGAACTGTATGAAATGACGAACTTTTTCTCATGTTCTTACATCTTATACAGACAGTTTTTATCTTACACTTTATACGGATATTCTGACAGCTCTGTAGCGCACCATCTAATATCAAGGTAAAACGTTTTCTGGACACCCTATGAATATCCCGAGGGGCTTTGAAGCAATACTAACCGATTCGCCATGACAGACTGTCTATATTCTGTAAGTTTTGTTGTCCCTAGATGGCTCTTTGGTGTTATCAAACATGGCTGATTTCTAGTGGCACCGACCTGCGAACTACAGGAAAAGGTACGCTTGTGGTAGTTTTGTGACAGTTGAAATCTGCATTAATTGTGTAACTGAGTCAAAGGTGATCGGATCTCTCTCAAACAAATTAAAAAAAAGAAGTACAGCTTTTGTGTAATAACAGGAAGGAATATTTGTAAGCGGTGCAGAGGTATCTGCACATAATACAATGCTTTTTTATCTCACAGTCGAATCCAATTTCTGACTAAACACGTAGATCATTTGTCATTCCACTAAAACTCGTTTCATTGTTGATATAAATTGGTGACGGTAACTTTATCTTCAGTATAATACCTTAACCAAAATTAAAATACATCGCAAAAGAGATGTGACTCTGATGTATGGAAATAAGTAGTTTTGTTGTCTTATTATAGCACTGACGAAACAGTATAGCTGTATGAGATCAAGTGGGTCAATCCAGACTTAACGATGTGAATACTCAAGTGTGTGAGACACGAAATTGGTGGTTGAAGCAATACGTCACAGCTTTAATATCATATGCCGATAAACGGTCAAAGTACTTCTATTTATTTTTGTTTCATTCGGCAAATTGTCAACGCACCCAAATTAGTCCTAGTGGTACCGTATATGCTACTTAATTAGTGATTTCTTGTGCAAATAACTACGACTATTGCAAAAAGAAATCATTTCAGCAGGACATATGTCTTCGTTACATTATGTCAATTTTGATTAGTGTGACTTTTTGACAAAACCAAATGTACATCTGCTTTACAGTTATTTAACAAATAGAACGATTACATGGCAAAACGACTATATTTAGAGAAATTAAATAAAAAAGATGAAACCAAAAAACCTTGCTGTGGCTTGTATACCTCGTTCAATTTC